AATACCAAAGTATTCATTACCAAACATATAGTACATTTGGCTTAGGGTCATTCAAAAGCCACAAAATAAACACTTAATTTGGTTTGAATGGGAACATCGCCCTTGTGCTTCAGTAATGCCACTGAATACATTTCTTTTTCCCACTCACACATTTCCCTTTTATAATCATATTATATTCCGGCTAATTTAAAAAACAAAAAACTAGAACAGACATTACAGCACTCTCGTGTCTGTTCTGCCACGATCAAGATGCATCCACTCCAAAGCACACATGTACACTGTTTGTCTCCATAAACAGTGAGAAGATACATACTTCCAGCCCATTTAAAAAGAATAAAACACTGTCCTCCCCTCTAGTGTGAAGAAAGCCTTGGTGCTAATGGAGTACAACAGAGGTGGGAGGGAGAGGTTGTTAGCCACAAGGAAGTGCAGAGGACATGGCACACAATAGATAAGGGGCTTTTTTTTGCACTTCATTATGGGAACAAAGGATCAAGTCTGTCATTTTTCCTCCAGTTACTTGTTTCATTCTTCATATAGCCAGTTCATTTTTATGTAGACTGTTATTTGTCTGGTTTTCTGCATTACCACTCTTCAGTCCATGTGGGGTTTCTCAGCTCCACCCTGAGAAGGGACAGAGATGAATGCTGGGATTAACAACATATCAGTTTCATCCAGCAGTTAGAAATACAGTTTCAACCTGTATAATTGCAAAGTCACAGTTGCGTACAACAGCAATAAAATGGTTTAAATCAAGTTTCTTTACATGTCCAAGTAGTGGATAAAGATAGCTTTACATAAGCACTGAAATAGAATCCCACCTTATACTGAGACAGAAATGTCAGTTGATTTTATTTAGATAGTAGCCTTCTAGTAAATATGAAGCTGTTACCACTATATGAACCAATAAGAACTAAACATCATAATTATGTTTATAAAAAAGGAACCACTTTCTTTCAGTTCCTGTTATTGAATGATTTTTTTCCCCCCAAATGGCAACCAAACATTTAGAAGGGGGAACAAAGTAGTGCTTGCTCAACAGCTTTCTCATACTTATTTTAAACATTTTCACACATACAGTAAATGTCTCAGTAGTGTGTGTTTATACTGTCGCCATATTTGCCCAAAGGATTTTAATTACACATCTGCTGGTAATTTATCTTTTTTATTCATCTTATAAAGAGATCTGAAAATAGTTGAGCAGGACAGAGCCAATGCTAGTGCCAAACAGTTTTATATTAACTGTTTTAAAGAAAAAAAGCCTCCTCCTGAACCTTCTCATAAATACCCCACTGAAGTGAAAGAAACACAGAACAAAACCACAAGTGAAGACTTGTGCCAACATTCCTTAGGCCTCATCACAAACAAAAATAATAAGTAGCAGTGACCCTCTGGTCAGCCGAGTCCTGACTGGCTCTGTGTGTGTCGACATGACTGTGAAAAACAACAGGCCTTAATCTGCTTTCACCGAGTCAAACTGAGGGAGTGACGGGACTCTTACTTTACAGACAGAATGAAGTGGGGCTTCTGGGCAGAAGCTTAATGAAGAGATCAAAGCCGACTTGATGGGATAATAATGAAGGAAGATGGGCGTCTAAAGCTCTTTAACCCATCTGATAATGTTATCTACTCTTATGGTTCCACTAAATAATTGCAAATAAAGCAGTAATGGTGCAGGGAAGTCTTTTGAACTCATCCGTTCTGTTCACCTTCTTTGGTGCAGGGGAGTTCACCAAATACAGGTTGAAGGTTAATACTAATAGACATGGGATATTTTGTGCAAATATGACACTCATGGGTGTTTATCCCTAAATTATACTCTTGGCCAGTTGGAAAAGCCTTTGAATCAAAACAAGGAGTATCATGTTACTGTTTAAACATCCTAGTTAGACCTGCAGTAATGAAACTAGTTTGGCAGCTGTTGAAACAAACAGTTCACACCAAAGCTCTAACCTGTGACATTCTAGCTGTTCAACTTTTTGGAACTAATAAACTCAATAAAATATCAAATACACAGTGGAGAAACGACTTCAGTCTAGCTCTGCAACAGATGTATAAATGCTTCATTTACAGACTAATAATATCTATTAAATACATCTTTTACCTTTAAGTTACAACATGTTTTAAATGGTTGCAAACTTTACCATGGCAAGTTGGCGTCCTATGTTTCCCACAGTAACACCGCCTGAGAAGAATATACACGGGAGCCAGGAGCGCACATACAAGAAGTCTGGAGACGTGTACCTGAAAAGAGGGGGATAAAGCTGATTAAGCCTAGTTCTGCTGTTCTGTAGCTGACCCCCAACTTCTGACCTCTCTACAGGGGGGTAAAGATAACCCACAATTCCTTCCAAAGCCAAATACAATCTTGTATAGTAATCAAATCATAATGCCATGTCACAGAATTAGAAACACATTGGCTCTTCCAAACATAAAAGACAATGCCAAAGTCAGATCACTGAGTGGGGAAAAGATATACAAAAATCTGTCTGGCTGGAAAAAAATCATCTAACCTCATTTTTTTCTCCTCTGTTTCTACTTTGTAAAGACAGGATAAGCTGCAGCTGCCTTTTAACTTCAAATCCATTTTCTCAGCTGTGTATGTTTAATGAAATGGCACTGAAGCAGGTACGAGGGCCAATTAATCCCAGAGGTAATAGGAAGACCAAAAATATAACCCAGTACGCCATGTGTTATCTGTCACATCTCTTGGAATCCAACAGGTGAGAGTACTTCATTCACACAAAGATGGGCTTTTGTTGTGGGTGTGATTAGTAAGTGAATTCAGCAAAAGTTTTGTGCCCTCATTTGTGAAAACATGGACAAGTTGTGTTTCACTTGAATTGCTAACTTACTGGTAGACTCCGTTGTAGGCGAGCAGCTGTGTGATCACAGTAGCTAAGAAGGCAGTGGTGATCCCCAGACCAAAGCCACTCCTGGACCGGTCGAATGTCCACCACAGGCCCAAGGACAAGGCTGCCAGTGTTAGAGAGAGCTGCACGTTGTTGTCAAAGTCTAGTTTCTGTGTTACCGGGAAGTTAAAGAAAGTCAAACTGGTAGCATGGAATTAGTTTGTATGAGCTGCTAGCACTCACTTCATAAGGGTAAACTGTGAGACGGGATATCCTGTTGCTTTAGAAAGTGGAAAGGCAAATATGTCTAACACTCTCAGTATGAGAAACCAGCCCGATTCTGTGGGGAGATTTTAGTACAAAAGGATACAGCACTGGCATGGTTGATACCGACAAACACTGCGATGCACCTCATGACGCTGGCCCACTCCCTCTTGAACTTGTGTGGCTCTCCCAAATGGCGGTCAAGGCAGGGATACAGCAGGCCGACAACAGCTGCGAAAAGGAACAAACAAATCCGAATTACACAAAATAAGCAGTAATTCTGTGGAATGCCAGAGGGCAAATCCTGTCATAAAGCTCCTGTGTGGGACTGTTTGCTGAACATGCATTTAAATCCTTTTTTTTAAAAAAAAAAAAAAAAAAAAAAAAAAAAAAAAAAAAACTATAGGGCACCACAAATATTTACTACGATTTGGAACTGAAACAAATGGTCAAATCATTGATAAACAGGAAATTAACCTGTGATCAAATTTATTGTTGCCCTTTTGAAGCAAACTGCCAAATGGCTACACTCTAGCCAACTTCATATTTCTGAGAATTTGCTGATTGTCATTATCTTAGTAAAATAAATGTAAATTTTTCACATGCAAGTTCATAGACCAAACATTTATTCATGAGAACACCTATAAATGCTAAATGGTCTTATACTTGTATAGCACTTTTCTATGCTTTAGAGCACATTCAAAGAGCTTTCACAATACTTGGCCAGTCACACCTGTCCAATTGTTATACAATTATTCACCGATTAAAATCATTAGTTTTAACCCTAACAGGAATATCATAGAGACTAGATCTGAATCAATTTGTTGTTAAATTGAATAGTAATCAATTTATTATAATTAATTTCACAAGGAATAAATAAGAAACATTCTCTGGTTCCACCTTTCAAAAAGGTGCGAACTTTTCTGTTTTATATCTCCAGATTTAACTGTTGGTCAGACAGAAATATTTAAAGACATCATCTTTAACTCCGAGATGCTAGTGAAGGCCATTGTTTATATTTTCTGATATTTTAGAAACGACAATAAACTGTCAAGTAGCCAAAACTGAGACTAGAGCTTAAACATCAATTCAGAATAAGTTCACTGTAAACTATATACTGAGTACCATTATCTTATTAGTTTTCACAATAGACACCTAGACACCTTAAACAAGTCTTGACATAACACTAACAGGTATTAATAAAGAGCATACCAATGTCAACAGATTTACAAAACGTGACGAAACACCTACACTTGTACTTCTCTACCCTGCTGCACATGGAAGGAGGAGCCCAGCTGAGATGCTGTTATTTTTTTCCTCCTCCCACAATTTCTTGGGTTCCTGGTCGTAAAGTACCGCCCCCAACTCACCCGTTATGACACCAGCCAATGAGAGCACGGCACACCTCGTGTCCGGCTGTTGCAGCCAATCGCAGCACGAGAATCTCTACCATCTGCATAGTCAGTTTTTTCATGACTGACTAGACACACAAAACCATCATGACTACTATATCCGCAGAGGAGACGTGTATAATAGCTAACAAATAACAAAGCCGAATGATTAGTCATTATCACCTGATCATATTGTGGCAGTGGCAATTATAGAAAAGTATAGTTTATTTGCCTTAAATGCTTTAAAATTGTACAGTTTACTGATTAGTAAATAAACACCATATTGATTTCCAGACATTTAGTTAGCATACATACATGTTTGATTGTTAATCACTCTTAATTTATGGTTTTCTCTTTATATGTAAAAGCACCTGCCCTGTAGTCCTTTCCCTCCCACATTCCTTTGTCCTAAACTTAGCAACAAACTACAGATCATTGGCCACACTGTTGATAAAAGATTTTTTCATTAAGCATGTTGTCTGCTCACCTGCCCCTGTTCCACAGCAAGGTGGGATCCACCAAGCAGAGGAAAATAAAGTTGTCATCACTTCCTCGGGAAACAAGGTGACATTTCTTTGTATCTGCAGCAAGTTGAGCACCAGGGCGAGAAACACTCCGACTGTGAAGAGAACGAGTCCGCGGCGGATCAAGTTGACCGTCCGGACATTGTGCAGGGATTTGTAGGCACTGCTGAGCACCGAAGTGATGATGGACATCATTTCTTCTGTTTTAGATGTCAATAAACTCGCTCCAGATGATGACTGCTTGGTTTCAACAACTGATGCACAGGAGCAGCTCCAGCAGTGGTTCTCTTGTCTTAGCATTTGGCACTTTTGGGCTAAAGGAGAAGAAACTGTCATGAAATTAGATACATATTTTGCAACAAAATAGATACATTTGTTTCACAAGTATAGAATTCACTCTTGCAGAGTGAGAGATAAAGTTTTCCGGATTAAGTTAAAACGATGACAAAATACTGTGGTCATTGCTGCTTACCTTGCTCCCCAGACGTCTTCAGGGTCTGGTCCGAAGAGAAACCTCCACTCTTGTTCATTCGCGCCTCCACATATGTAATTAAGCCGAGATCCCCTTTTCACAACAAAGACTGCAATCACGTTGTTTGTTCACATCACTGTTAGCAGACACAGAGAGTAAAAAACACACTCCGAGTCCATACCACAGTACAGAGCTCCTACCAGCGAGAAGCGCTTCCTTTGCAGACAACAATCTCAGCTGTGTCGGGTGAGGATCGGTAGCCAATCAGAGCGCGGTGGCTGATATGACGTGCGCCTCGGCCCCGCCCATTGCCCGGGAAAGATGCACAGACAGAGCTGAAATGAAACTGGGATCAACTACTTTAATCGGCAGTAAAATATATATAGCTCTTACTGTAAAGAGTCAGGAAGAGCTATAACGATAGATACAAGAATGCTGGCTATTATAATTCCAAAATGTAAGAGCTATAAAGAAGTAAAACAGACAATAGTCGTTATGAATTGATAGCTGAAATCCATAGCTGAATAATGTATCCATTACTTGGATATTAGCATATGTGTTTACCAGGTTAAAATTAGAGCACAAACTTGATACCCAAACCTTTACAGATGGTCTTAAATAGATAGACAGCCATGTAGTTTGATAAAAGCTGTCTTCCTGTCTAACTAGCCTATACCAGCAGGTGACACCACATAAACTCCACTCCTGCACAAGAAACTTTATATAGTCTATGCAGCTTTTGGGAAATGGGCTTAGTGGCACAACCTTTTTTTCTGATGTTGCTAAAATGTTGTTGAACTTTGGGTCAGGTTAAACAAGGAGTGTTCAGGAACATGGGACCCCTGCACGTAAGAGACAGGACAGGAACATTATCGCATGTTTTGCAAGAACTTGTGTCACTCAGCCAGGTGTCTATAGGGCAGTGTGATAACAAACCCCCACCCATTGTGCAGCCTACGTGCAGCAAAAACACAACTTGCTTTGTGCCTAAGGACATGTAGCTAACCTACAGTGAACTATAGAACCCTTTGAAAATGAACCGCATCTACACAACGGACCTACAGTACATTATGAAAACTCACAGCTATGCATTTGTTCAGCAGTTGTGTGGTGCTAAAATGAGGGTCTAAAGTGGAGGCTGGCCATTGGTTGTCACTCATTGTTCAAAGCCAGAACCCTGGAGTTCCCAAATGTTTTTCCACCACCCAGCTTAACTTGCCCTGTAGTTTGAGAACCACTGCCTTAACCTAACTGCTGATTGTCCCTTAACTTTCCAGGTAGCACCATAATTACTGTAGGTGAAACTTACAATTTGTCCAGTTTGGTTTACAGCTAAGTTAATGATGTTCCCATGAGACTCAGCTGCACTTTATTCCATCAACTTTCATATTACATGTTAATAACCATGCCATCACACAATTTTAAAGCTAAAGCAGCATTTGTAGTTTCACTAAAGCGGTTTCAGAATGAGTTTTAAATGTTAGGCTATTACAAACACAGTGGCGTTAAAGTCATCTTTAAGGTGTTACAGTTTCCAGACAGCACATCCATATGACAAAGTTTAAATTGGTTCCACTTGAATTGAATGGGAAAATGCCATTTCTGAAATGGCAGTGATAACAATGCTTAAATATATGTGTCACAGTTGCCCTTTATTGGAGCTGTCTCACTATTTTGTATCATATAAATCAAGCATGAAAGCATATTGAGGGTTTAAAAGTTTGTATATGTCCTCCATTTCCATTTCTGGATGCTTGGGTTTTTTGAGGACTTGAACAAATACAGCATGCCTTACAGGATGAAAATACAGTCAAAGAGGAAACTCTGCTTTTTAACTGTTGGAACAGATTTTTATTTATTTATTTATTGGTCACTTATTTCATAGCTTTCATAAAATATGCTAGGATATAATGGCATAGATCCTCACTCATGATGTCTTTACAGACATGCTTTTGTGGCCCTAAAATGACATTCAGAGACATTCACTTTGCTGCAACCCATAGATAATGACATCAGTCATATTTACTTTATCTTAATTTCAGTGGACCATATGTTTAACACAGATAAAGAGAGCTCCACAATTTCACCATGGGGGGAAAGGAGGTCAAAAAGAGAAGGGTGCACCTGCAGGGAGCTCCCAAGGCTCCAAACTACTGCACCATCCCAGTAATCCAACAATAGTATTCCTCTCTGCCTCAGGACAAAGTGAGTATGTTGAAGGCTCATCACTGGGAAGAAGTGTGTGCTTGTTCCCCCAAATGAATATGTTTCTCTCTGTGTAATTCTTGGCAATCCGGTGCCTGAGGATAAAAGCCTACAGCAGTGAGTGTGTGTGTGGGTGTCACTGTGTAAATCTGCCTTTGTTTGAGTGTGTGTATGTGTCTACAAAGAAAAAGAGTGTTGTTGGATATATGTGACCTTAGTTGACTTCCACACATTCTGTATCTTATATTAATGAAACAAGGGAAATGTTTAATAGTGAAAAACAGAAAGATGCTATGGCCATTCAGATTGCTTTTAGTGCCTCTACTGATGGTAACATGGATTCATGTGGAGGCTGAAATCACGAGTTGTATTTAACTAATGTCGGGCTATAATAACCATGAAAACGACTCGGCATATAGCAGATATCTCCTAATTCTTAGCAACCAGCAGTGCTGGTACTGGCATCTGTGAGGCCTCTGCCACATCAGAAGAAAAAGCATGATGGCAATACTTCAAATGAATAGCAGATCAAGCGTGTCATAGATTATGTTTTTAGTCTGGGAGGGATTGAATTATAGCTAAAGGAAAAGCTTGTTGGAACAGCTGGTAAATTGATCTATCAAACTCAAGCTTGACATTTTTTTCCATACTGTGTGAAATTATAAAGGGAAACATCCTAATCCACCCTCTTGGATAGAACATAAATGGTTTCAGCGTCACCCTGCTATTCCCTTTAGTTCAGTGTCAAAATCATTGTATTTTATTCTTCTCTTATGTGCTGTTATTCTGCATTTTTAGAGAATGTCAAACTATTGAACCCATTTATAAAGATATTAAAGTTATTTTTATATAAATATATGTTTGTAATTGTAGTCTTTGAAACCCTTTGTTTGACTATGAGCTACAGTTTGGTCAAAATTTTCCAACCCTACCTTCTTTCTTTCTCCAATATTATTGCTTCAGTGCATTCTGGGTGCGCTTCTGGATAAACATAACCTTTTCAGTAGCTCTCCCTCTGTCTCACTGTGCTGGAAGATGAAAGGGGGTTCTGGGGTATGGAGTGTATCAAGCACCTTAACAAAGGGTTCCATAAAGGCCCTGACTCTACAGCCTGAGGGCGTGGTACCAGTGCAATCTCCCAGCCCCTTTGTTCTTTAGCGCTCAGCTCCAAAATTGTTTCAGAGCAGCTCACCTTTTTTTATAGCCCAATCCTACATGCTTTACTATATGGCATGTTTATTTTTCGGATGTATTATGGAAAAACAAAAAGAATATGTTCAGTTTAAGGAATGATAAACAGCAGAGCTATGAGCCAAACTAGCTGTCAGTGAGTAAAGATTTTTATATTTCAGAGACAGTGTTTAATGTGGTTGTTTAAAGGAATGATTTGATGTTAGTGGTAATACAACTTTCTTCCCATGAATTAGATTTAAAAAATGCAGATGGATCCAGCTTTGCATCGAGGCTGGAAACAGGAGGAAACAGCTATCATTTTCACACTGGCTTTTGTACAGTTAAAATAAATGAGAAATAGTAAGTTAATCTGTGACCATTACAGGCAGTTGTTGTTACCTCTGGACAAAAATAGCTGTTTCACCCTGTTGACTATAGCTGCTTATTTACTGTACAGACATGTGAGTGGTATTTTCTCATCTAATCCTCAACAAGAACACTAAGCCTATTTCCCAAATTCTGAAACTATTCTTTTAAGTTGAGGGGAGGCGACAGTGTCTCCCAACCAGAAGGTTGAAGGTTCGAATCTCATTGCCTCCAGTCCATGTGTCGAAGTGTCCTTGGGAAAGACATTGTTACCCCCGATGGTTGGAGCCATTGGTTGAGTTGGCGCTGCAGATGGCTGCGTCGGTTCTGTACCGCAAGCAAATTCCTCGTGTGTAACATAATTGGCCAAATAAAGGTGATTATCTTTATCCTTGATATATAACTTTATTTGTGTGCTATGACAGACTCCTCTACTTTCTGCTTTTATTAGCTATGTGCTTCCCACAGCTAATCTTATTGCTGCTGTTTCATTTGAAAGGAAAACACTTCAGTTATGTTATCAACCATTCAAGGAAATTACACAAAGGTTATACTGTCTTCAGTGCACATAGTAGTTGTATTTTTCATTACTTTATGATTTTTGTGCAGTCAGTGCCACAAATGCACAACCCTGTGACAGTGGTGAATCAATACATCACAGATGAGCTTATAAAGCTGAACATTAGTACTGCTGTTTTTGTTTTGTGGGTTGTTGTACTGGACTCTTTTACAACACGTGTTTGAGATACTGTACAAAAAGGTCTGCTAAGCTGGAAGCGCCCATGAACAGCACACTTATAACAGCCAATGAACATCGGCTGTGTGCTCAGGTGTGGTTCTCGACCAATCACAACCAAATCCTCAGTGGGAGCATTTGTGGGTGTGCGTGTGACAGAGATACTAGAAGGGAGTAAGACAATAAGGGCAATAGAATGTGTTTGTTTAAAGTTGGACAATGATACTGAAATACACCTCACATGTTTATTCTGCAGTAGTGCTTTTTTTATGTAGTAAATCTTTTCCCTAAAAGAAACAGCACTAATGATGTTGTAAACCACAGACAAATCCTGCAGTGGCTTCACAGAGAGTGAATAACAGGACGACTCATGACAACACCCATCCATGGTGATTTTACTTGGATTTGGGCACATGACTAATAGCTGATAAAACGTATTTGGTTGAAATGTCTTCAACAAAAACTGTGTCAGTCATTAAGTCCAAAATTCCATAAAAGGTGACCTGTCATAAGGAAATCAACATTTTTGTTGATCCTTACTAAATTCAGTTTAGTGGTTCAACATTTTAAACAAAATGTTAATTTAGTTTGTCACTGAGAGTTGCAGAGAAGATGAGAAAATTGACACCTCTGTCATGGATGTACACTAAATATTTAACTGGAGCCAACAGATGGTTACTTTAGCTTTGCATAAACACTGGAAACATTAGGAAACAGTCAGTGTGGCTCTGTCCAGAGGTAACTGAAATAGAAATGTAAATACTCATGCTGTTTATGTATTTATGTATGTGTACACACATACACACTTCACTCACACTCACACGCTCAGCTGGTGCACACAAAGCCTAACTGTCTAAACCCAGCAGTCTAATCTCAAAGAATACATATCGAATGACACATACTCAAAACTTATTTCTGATTGGTTCCAGCTGCGTGATAGCGTGACCAGTGCTGTACAAAGCCTGACTGTTACTTCCTTTTGTTTGTCACTCACTGACTGAGTGTGTGACCTCTTGATCAAGATACTGGTATTGTGCTTATGCTGTTGTCTCATTGCTTAAGAAACCACACAAGGACAACTTGAAAGCCTCTGTTGATTTCCACAACAGTAAGAAAATGCACCTACTAGCATCTGTAAAACTCACAAATTAACTAGCCATTAAACTGGACATAAAAATCTACACTAATCAGCCTTGGTTCTATAGCTACTTATAGTATTTACAGTACAAGCATCATCAAAGCGTGCACTGTGATTTATTCATTTGTGAACTTTAGAGGTGATGTTTCAGTCTGAGTCAGGCTGTATACTGCTTTTTCAGTCTTTGTTTCAAGTCAAACCGACCTGTTGTAGCCTAACAGACAGATGAGAAAGTGGCATCAGTCTTCTCATTTAATATTTTTGCAAGAAAGCAAACACATTTCACCAAATTACAAACTATTCTTTTAACACTGTACATTTATTTTACATCTCAGTTTCTTGTTTTAAAACTACTGTTCATAATAATCTGTTGCCGTTTTGTCAGATTCTAAATCAGCATGGCATGTCTTGAGCCATCCATCTTGCCAGCCGCCTTTTAAAGACAATTGCTTTAGATCACACCACCTTCACCTGAGGCAGCTGGTGTCTCAGCATATAGCTTAATGTTTAACACAGAATGGCTTCATAGCACAGGACGTGCTGAGCACCCTGTAAAGGATTAGCGTGGGAAAAAGTTTGCAATAGTTAAAGAGTAAACCTGCCTTGTTTACTGTCTCAGGTGATTTCCACTTTATTTCCACAGACGCATTCACCTCCCCAGAGTTTTAAATAATAGTATCCTCTGTGTAATAGTATGTCTGTGGGTCTTGAATAAAAAACAAATATTTATTTTAAAACCAAGAAAGCTGAAAAAAGCAAGCATACCTGGTTGTGGACAGGCATTTTGTTTGCACATGAAAGGGTGAACAAGTGGCGACCAGTGGCCACTCAGCTATTGAACAGATGTGACCAAAGATGGCAGTGAATG